ATCCGACGTGCCCAGACATGCGACGTCCTGATGTTTTCAATGCGGCGTCCCTGGAAGTTCCGACCCTTTCCCCTGGACGGGCTTTTCATCCTGAGTCGTTTTTAGACGCTCCCGAGGCCCGGCCGATGGCCCCCTGAGGCCGAATACGGCCCAGATCTTCACGTCCTGATTTGTTTTACGACGCGATCATGCCTGGGTACGTGTCTACGGCGTTTGTATTCACTCACTCGTTCCCCTGAGGTTCCTGTACGTATTCGGCGGGGAGTGGTCGAGCCGCGACCAGCGCCGGTACCGCCAGTTCGGGGACCTGTGGAGGATGTCAGGGGCAACGAACGCTAAAGGGCACGGCATCGGCTCATTGTGGGATCCGCCCCCCGTCGCCCACTGGCAGTGGATGGGGGCATGCGGGTTCGCCACCGGGGGCCTGTCGCTGATCTCTCGGCGATCCATCGCCGATTCAAGCTCGATGCTTCCCCCGCGGAGCTGGCCCCCCCCGCTGTCCCCTGAGATCAGACGGCGCGGCAAGATTGAAGCACGGTAAAAAAAAAAACAGAGCCCTGGACCCCATCTTTCTGCAGCCTTTTTTCCGAGCCCGACCGATCTGTGAGGGCCCCCGGCCCCGAAGCCCGACGACAACGCCGGGCTCGAAAAAGTTGAAGCGCCCTTGGGGGGCGCGTCGTGGGGGGGACGATGCAGGGGGGGGGCAGCGAGGGCCGCAGAAAGGAGCCCTTCGGGGCCAGGGCCCTTTAGGGCCCCGAAGGGGGCTCTATAGGGCCCGAGAAGGGCACCTTTCTTCCCCCCCCCACGTGTCGCCCCCCCCCCCCCCCCTCACGAACTCGCGCCCAACAACGCCGGGCTCGATAAAATGGAGGCGCCAGGATCTCAGAGTCGAATTCCCCTTCAGGATCGACGCGACGGGAGGACCCTTTGCCCAGGACCGGTTTTCCGTCCTGAGTTTTTTTTTTGAGGGCCCCGAGGTTCGGCGGGGGCTCCCAGGGGCCGAAGACGGCCCAGAATCGCTCGTCCTGATTTTTCCGCGACGCGATCCTGCCTGGGAGGGTCGTTCCCCCTCAGGATCGACGCGAGGCCTGCAGGAAGGAGGCCTTCTTCAGGGCCCCTATAAAAGGAGCCCTTTAGGGCTCCAAACGGGGCCTGTTGGGCCCGACATGGGGGGCACCTTTCGTCCCCCACCCGCTTATCGTCTCCCAAGAACTCGCGCCCAAAAACGACCGGCTCGAAAAGATTGTCAGGAGGGAAAAACGCACAGATACAATTCATCGTCGATTCCCCCGAAAATATGGGAAACTATGGGAAGTGGGGGGAAGACAATAACCCAGAAAATATTGGAAAATATGAGGAATCCTGTTATTTGTGTCTATTTATTTGTGTGTCCCAGGGCTCCTTCATTCGTCCCCCACCCGCCTATCGTTTTTCAAGAATTCACGCCCAAAAACGACCGGCTCGAAAAGATTGAGGCGCTAGGATCTCAGACCAGACATGCGTCAACACGGGGTCCGTGGAAGCCCCGACCCTCTGCCTGGGAAAATTTCCCGTCCGAAGTCCAGGCCCGGCGAGGGCTCCCGGGGGCCGAGCCCCAAACCGCCCGTCCTGACTTCTGTGCACGACGCGATCCCAGAGACTCGACGTCGTAATCTTTTCAAAACCTCCACCCCCAGAGGTCTGGACCCCTTCCCCGGGGCCGGTCTTTGATCTCCCGAGTCTTTTTGTTGACGCTCCCGAGGCGCGGTATAGGGGCCCCCGGAAGCCGAAACTGGCGAAAAACCGTATGTCGCGAATTGTTTTGTCACAGCGCGAGGGGGTCCTGGGATTTTGTCTGGGAGGGTCGAATGTCGACTTTCCCCCCCCCCCAGGATCGACGCGACGGGAGGGCCGGGCACCCGGTGGGAGCGCCTCGAGGCAGAGGGCGCGCCGGCGCCGCGCTCTGGGCACCGGATGGCGGCGCTGCCCAGCGGCCACGCCTCGCTATTTGGGGGCTTCACCGAGGATCGCCTCCTCCTCCTCCTCCTCCTCCTCCTCCTCCTCCTCCTCCTCCACCGAGGATCGGCGGCGGCCTGCGAGATGATCGCGTCGTGAAGCGGTCGTTTTCTTATTTTCATTGTTTTGCCGGTCGGCGCGGGCCCTCGCACCCCGCCTCCCCACCCCCCATGGAGTAGATCTTTGCTGTTTTTGGCGCCTGCTTCAAGCAGGTGGAGTCTCCCCCTCAGGACGCACGGTTGCAAGCAGTAGCATGAAGCAGAGGTCTGGAGCCAGACCCTCTCTCCCCCCCTCCCCTCCGCCCAATGTCGAAACGCCGACTCAGAAAACGTTACAAAGGAATCCGGATGGAAGGGTTTTGGCCGTGTCCGGCTCCTGGGAGCCCTCGCCAGGCCTCGGGACCGTAACAAAAACGACCCAGGACGGAAACTTCGACAGGCAGTGTACAAGATCGACAGGCAGCGCCGCAACTCTTATTCGGGCCGCGGGGCAGGCCGACAACGAA